TCTATATTTTATATGCATGATTATATTTTTAAATTTATTTATTTTTAATTTTAAATAAATAATAATAATTTTTTAATAAACATATTATATAATGTATTAAACTGAAAAATATACTAATTAGTATCTTAATTTCTACCCTGTAATAATGTATGATCCAGCTTTTGTTCTCAAGTTATTTTTCTCATGGTTTCTATAAGAAAAATCGATATTGAAATTGCCTATTATATTGATATTTGCTTATAGTCATTCATGACTTTTCTTTGAGGGGCCAAATACAATGACTAAAAACAATGAAACCTTCAATAATTTTTAAAAAAATGATTGATGCATCTTCTAGTTTGATATGTCTCTTGGTATTTGTTCATTTCAATTATTCAAATATAATTAAGTACAATCAATTTTTATATTTTATATGCATGATTATATTTTTAAATTTATCTATCTTTAATTTTAGATAAAAAATAATAATTTTTTAATGAACATATTATATAATGTATTGAACTGAAAAATATACTAATTAGTATCCTAATTTCTACCCTATAATAATGTATGATCCATCTTTTGTTCTCAAGTTATTTTTCTCATGGTTTCTATAAGAAAAATCGATATTGATTCCAAAGAAAGGAAAATTTACTAGACCTTGTGATTACTGTTTTTTAATTTTTGTAGAACAAAGATGTACGTGAATCCCACCATTTTTGGCCTAATTGTTTTCTCTTAAATTAAAAGGACTTGGAGATTGAATGGTATTTTTTTTATTTGGTTTTGGCAAATTAATTATTTCCATAAAGAAAATATCAGTTACAAAGGAAAAGGGAAGCTTCCATAAAGCTAGCTAGTGACTCAATTGTATGCAGGAATCTATCACTCGAAAAGTATTGAAGTTACCACTCCCTCGTCTTTTTTAGTTATTCTAATTTGAGTTTTACATAAATTTTGATCTAAAATTTTTATACAATAATAAATAGATAACAATTAAAATTTTTTAATAAATTTTTTTTATTAAGTAGTTTCATTTAAATCAAATTATTTTTTAAATATCATTAATTTACTATATATTATATAATATAGTAAGGTATTTCTAAGAGACAAGTGTAAATTAAACACCCATCCATCTTTTCCTTTGCGGCCAAGGTGGGACGTTTCCCACTGCCGGTTCACACCACACGTTCTACTTACACGCAATGACTAAACTTTTCCAAGGGACTATTTCGTGGAAATTTCTTTTGATTGCAGTTAGACTTTGCCTAGGGGGACCCCCAAAAGGGAGACCATGTATCCTGGTCTTTGGATACGGTCAGTCATGACTTCCTTTAAGGGACCAAAACCTGTTACGTACCAAGTCACTTCTGCAAACCAACCGCACCCTTATCGTGTGTTTGGGGTTGCTTATATATTAACCTTTGGTTAATTTAAGTTTGGTAACAGAAAATAATTATTATTTTTATCAAATAACCATAGATTAATTGATAAATGAATATAATATACATCAAGCAAATCTATGTGTTTACACCTAAAATAAACCAATAGGGTAAGGCCACGTGTCAAGGTAAAGCCCAATCATCAAGAAAATCACTAGGCTGGATTTGGGCTGGGCTGGCTTACAATTTAATGGCCCAGACGGATTTCCAAGAAGGTTGGATCTTAGGTGGCAGAAGATAAGATTGGATCTGATAGTTTGAATTTGATTTAAAATGGGAAATTGAGGATTTTTAGGTAGTTATTTTTAAGGTTGTTGGAGATAAGGTTAAATAAAAATTAGATAACTATTAAATAACTGCCAGACCTGCAATCCCATTACCAGATCATGGAGGAACAGTGCCGAAAATGGAGGAACAGTACCGAAGATCATGGAGAAGATCATGGAGGAGGTTACCAGCATCGAAGGGAACAAAAACAGAGAGAAGAGAATAGTTCAAGGCCTGCCCAACACACACACAGACTGCCCAGAGCATGTTTTTCAGCTTTTAGACTGCATTTTCCAGATTTCAGCAATAGTTTCCAGATTTCCCAGACTTTCCAGATTAGTTCATAACCTTAGCCTAGGTTTGTTCATCTTTGTTCATATTTCCTTCCGCAAATTCCAGTTTAGATTTATTTTTAAGTATTTGGAAGCAACTTAGCCTTCAAAACAGGTCTGTCCTTTTGATCCGGTTAGTTCTTCTTCCTTTTATGGATTTAGTTATGTTATTTGTTCATGTAAATAGGATGAACATTTTCTACCTTTGTTCTTTTGTTTCTGCATAATATCCAGACATGCAGTTTGTTTCATGTTCATTTCCAGATTTAAATTTATAAATTTCCAAACTTTAATCATTTCATAGTTTCTTCTTCAATTTTAGTTGTCATTATGGGCTGCGTAGTTTTCTGTTGTCTGCGAATTTAATCTTTATGGCATGTTATTTTCTGTTAATTACTTTATATTAGTTTAATTGCTTTAGGATATTGCATTTATTTTAGGATTTGTAGCTTTTATTACACTTGTCTAGTTGTGAAGTCCTTGGAGGTTT